TTGCTCCACAAAATCTCCTCTGTCCACCTCCAGAACAGAGAAGATGAAAGCTGATGTTGTTGTTTGGTTTGTTTATTTAAGAGTCACACAGACTCCAGTCTCATTCAACATTTTATAATTTTGCTAGAAAGCCTCTGCTTTAAATGCTGCTTGTATTTTCTAGGGACTTTTAGTGAAACACACAAAAATTTTATTCTTTAAACCCCTCTAAGAAGCCAGTACTTTGTGTCGTTTTTGCTGTGCGAAATCAGCAGGCCCACACTGACAGACACCCCACACACTCTTACCAGCTGTCAGGATGGTTTTAGCACTCTGCACTATACTGGAGGATCTCACAATCGCTGAAATGCCTGCAGAGGGAAAAGCACACAGATGTCACCCATCCAGCACTCGTGTGGGGATCCTTTGCCCCTCCACCATGCACAAGTTAAATGTTGTTCCACTTCTACNCCTTCCCAGGGCACACAAGGAGCTGCTGGCCCCACTGCCCAGCACAGGTTTGTCCACCCAGCTCAGCCTCTCCCCACAGCAGCCCTCAGGCTGATGAATCCCAGCTGCAGGAAAAGTTAATGTGCTGTAATTACAGCTCTCTCTCAGAATCTGAAGCACTTGGACCACATGAAAACGTCTGTTCCTTCAGCTCTGAAGCTGTGACTCGGTGGTTGCACCTCCCCTTTAGATTTTTCCACTGGAGGACACAGAACAAAGCCCTGATGCACATGGGAGCGAGCCCACAGCGTTTGTGCCAACACAACCCGGGTCTGCTTTCACTCAGCCATCCACACTGAGCTCTCTGCAAGGCAGGGTCTGCTGGGAGTCCCCAAAATGTCCTGCTGGGATTGCCTTTGGATGGATGTACTGCCAGACAAATATATAATTATTTGTTGGAGCAAATAATGATGGATTTGTAGTGTGGCACACACAGATACGTGCATATTTACAGATATTTACACTGAAGCCACCCCATCTCTTCCTGCCTACAACACTTAAAGGGATGGAACACAGAGGGATAACAGTGTGGATTGATAATCCAGAAGGAAAGAGAAAGGAAAGATTTGGATTTTTTTTGCCCTTCACCCAAGATCTGGGTAGTTTTCTAAAAATTTCTGTTTGGGGAGAAAATTATGACAGAAAATTCCTACAAGTCTTCTGTGTGAGGATTCAAGCTAGAATTCAAACTAGAGTTCCAAGTAGCTCTTGGAGTT